TTTTCAAGATAAGACATTAGAGAGAATATTCTAGTGGATATTCTCTGCAATTATACTATTAGGGTTTTCCTTTTAGGAACATGTTCCCTACAAACAGTAAAAGACATAATGATAGGGGACATGCGATATTCATTTGTAAAAAGCACACTTTGACTTGAGAAAGAGAATCGGATCGCATTGCTAAGATACAAACATAACATTTTCACTGAAATTCTTGTCTATACTTTTCTACTAGATCCGAGAGTAACTCAAATATACAAGGGATTGTTTATCATTCATCATTGTTAGAAAGAACATCTACTTATTCCATCCTTTCTTGGGTGACTCATTCATTCTATTTACTTAAATGCCATTTATTGTTATTCATTGATATTGAATGCTACTTTGTTGCCTTTGATTTCTTGAGATATTTATTGCATGTTACCGCTACTGTCCGACTATATCTACATAGTGATTGTGGCTTTTTAATAACTCCACCTTAGGGATATTATTGTTAGCTAAGATTAACCCTCTTTTATATAAATTTAATTATTTGAATCAAGATCTATGAAAATTATTCAAGAAGAGATTGATGAAATATAATTAATGAAAGTTTATTTTGGTCATATCTAGCTCTAGTTTGCAGCATTTACTAACTTACCTTGTGTGAATGAACTGAATTTTTGAATTTTATTCCTTATGTCTATCTACACGTTAATATTGGTAAAAAAAGAATTCGTTTGTGATTCACTCAATCTTGAGCCCTTTCTTTTAAAAAGCACCCTGGTCATATTAAACAAAATATCTCCAATACCATAAACTGCAATTTCCTGGTTGTTTTTCATTTTTAGATTGGTGAAACCATGGCAAAGTTCTTAGTAATCGCCTCTATTCTTGTTCTGTTGGCCTCTATAATTTGTGTGGAGGTTGAAGCTGGAGCTAATTCCCCAAAGCCGTTTGTCGTCAGCCGTCTGCAGCATGGACGAGCATTAGATGTTATTATCTACCGTACAATACAATTCTATTTCCTTTCCATTTTATACGGCGATCTTTCTTTATAAGTTGATTTTTTTTAAAAAATAAACTTTTTTATATTTAAAATTTTTTTAACTTTAAACTTTCTAATTTACCTAGTCATAGAAACGTCACAACATGTTTTAAGATAAAAATTTCTAAAAATACTTTTGGTATGAGCGAAAAGTGTTTTTTCCCCCTTAAACTGTCCAGTCATATGCCATCGTCTAAAATGAAACGAAGGGAGTAAATATGTTATCTCCCAATCTCTTTTAACTTTGCAGCCAACAGATGTTTTACCATTAGCTTTCACGTAACATGTCCCTTATGACAAATACTCTTGACTTAGTTTGATTTATGCCACAAATTCATTCTCAACTGTTCAAAATGAATTTTAAACTATCATATTACTTAAAAATAATTAAAAGTTATTAATTGGTGGGATTAGTAATCTAAAAAATAAGACCTCCTACAAGTTAAAATTGTAATTTTTTTTTTATTTTCAATGTATATAAGTTAAATATGTGTTATATATGTTAAAATTTCGCATACATTGCCAAATTTGCAAATTTTTTGGGGCCAAATTTGCTACTTTGCCATTGTCATTTTTGCTTTTAATTTTTTTGTTTTGTTTTGTATTTGCAGCATGCACGAGCACATGCCAAAAAGCCTGCTGTGACTGCAACATAGAGGTGATTCCCCCAGTCTGCACCAAGTGCTGCCGCTGAAGACTTATGGATTCGCAAGTTAAAAGAAGTTTTTTGAGAATTCTTTTGATAAATTAAAAGATCTTTGCTTCTTTAATTCTTGTTCTAGTCTAAATATATGACATTTCTTCGGTATTACAAGCTCCAATCTGATTAACTTTTTCAATTAGTCATTATGGTCCGTTTACCATTATCGGCTAAGTTTTATTAAAAGTACAGGCATATGAAAGGTTAAAATACAAAAGTGGATAGTGTTAGGTCCCATTAATGAAAATTCTATTTATCAAAAGAAAAGTAAACAGATTTTTATATATAAACAAGTGGCGCTTCTAGAAGGAATATAAATAAATAGGAAAAATGACGTTGTATAGCCGCTGTAAAAATAATAGCGAAAAAATATATAAAATTTATATTTTATATATATATATATATATTCTGTTTGTTATATACAAAAATTATACAAGTTTTATATACTTTTTCGGCTACTAAATATAAATAGTTTCTGGAGCGGGTTAAAAGTGATAATACCGCGTATAAATAAGCGAGTGTGAAGCGCAATGAGTCTAGAAAATGCAGTTCTTATTAAATTTTTAGGCTGTAAAGTAGTCATCCTTGATATGTATATGACTCTATGTTGGTTTTACATTATTAGTCAAGAAATCAGTTCCAACTTCCAATGTTGTTTTTATTTTTTGAATTATTTCAGCTATGGGTGTACATGAATCGGGTTGGTTCGATTTTTATCAAAATCAAACCAAACCAACTATATCGGTTTGGATTGGTTCGATTTTATCGTATTTTTCGGGTTTTTTCGAATTTTTTTGCTATATGAATATTTTTCAATCTTACTTTGTTTAAGTTATAGACAACGTTTTAATAAGTGAATATATGTTTAGTAAAAATTAAAAAATTAACAAACATATGATCTATTAAAATATTCTTATGAGAGAATTTTTTTTAGGAACACATGATAGTTATTTTCTTAGTTGTCTAACAATAACTTTTCGTTAATATACACTTTCAAGGTTAACCGAGTTTAATAATTAAATATAAAAATTAAGATGATACCTAAATAATAATATATTTTATTAAATTTTAAATTATCAAAATACCATTTCAAATTCAAAAAAGATATAAGAAATCTTGACATATGAATATGGAAGAACAAAGAGATGATTGACGCATTTCATCGACGCATTTCAGCAACACTTGATAAGAAAGTGATACAATCCATTATTTATAGTAAATAAAAATGAATGCACTTCATAGTTCTATTAACTATTACATCCCATGAGAGGATATCAAATATTTCTACATTTTTTAAAGAAAATTCAATATAAAGTCTTAAAAGTATATATAAAAATTATATATTTATATGTCGGTTTGGTTCGAATTTTTTTATTCAATACCAAACCAAATCAAATCAAACTTAATCGGATTTTTTAATCGATTTGGTTTGAATTTTCGGGTTAGTACGATTTTCCGATTCGATTTGAACGCCGCTAATCTCAGCAAAGTAAAAATATAAACAAGGAGATTGCTGGTTTTTGCATCAATTTCATACCACGGCAATAGCGCTTCGTACAGCGCAACAGCTCCTACGAGCTTAATTTTCATCTAGATAATCAATGGCGGAGGCAGGATTACTGCCAAGTGGGTTCAAAAAAGAAAAAAGTTAGAAAAATTGTAATTAGTGGGAATAGAATTAATGTCTTTACAAAGATTTTGAACCCCATTGACCACTAAACTATGCTTTTGGGTTGTGCCAAAAAGATTCAAAATATAATATATAGAAGTAAAAAATATCCGCTCGTGTAGATAATGGATCTAATTTATATAGGCTTACAATATACACAGTTTTTATATCATTGTTTTAATTTAACTGGATAGATTAGGTTGTTGTTCTATTTTATAGGTTATTGTATCTATTTGCTATAGCAGATTAACTGTTTTAGATCAAATTAATCTAATATTTCCTCTATCCTATTTTATCTGGTGTATTTTAACTGAACACGAAATGAAAGAAATATTTTTGAAATTTGTGTCTAAAACAAATACTAATATATATTTGTATAGCTATAAATCAATCTCATTATGAGTAACTTGAAAATTTAAAGTTAAATTATTTTTAAATATAGAACTATATAATTATATACTAATTCTTTTAGAACAGATTAAAATAAAAAATATTTTACATAAATTAGAACAAAGAAAATAATATATTAAATTATCAGTGCGAACAACTCAAATGCACACATTATTTGTGATTTACGATTTCATTGCGTGTAAACGTCAAAGAGGTGGCTTTAGGACAAATAAACAAATTCTTTGAAAATACAACAACAACAACATTCCAATAAAATTCCACTAATGGGGTCTGAGGAGGGTAGTGTATACGCAGACCTTACCCCTACCCCGACGGATAGAGAGGCTGTTTCCAAAAGACCCTCGGCTCAAAAAGAAACAAAAACACAAAAGGACAAAAATGAGACAATATTAGTATCACAACAACAATCATATGATAAATAGAAACACCATGAAATCCAGAAGAAGGATGCAAAGCAAAGGGAGACAATATTAGTAAATATTAGTATCACCAAGACAATCATAAGAACAATAGGAACACCATAAAATCTAGAAGAAAGATGCAAAGAAAAAGTGAGAGCTAGTAAATAAGACATGCATTGAAAAGCGAAATAGTAATCCACAACATTGCCACAAGCTATCTCAGACAAAAACCCTACATGACTAGTCCCACAATGGTACGAAGTAAGGCACGACTCAACTACCTCCTAACCTACAACCCTAATACTCGACCTCCACATCTTCCTATCTAGTGTCATGTCCTCGGAAATCTGGAGTCTCGTCATATCCTGCCTGATCACCTCTCCCCAATACTTCTTAGGCCGCCCTCTACCTCTTCTGGTGCCCTCCACAACCAGCTGCTCACACCTCCGTACCGGAGCATCTAGGCTTCTCCTCTGAACATGTCCGAACCATCTAAGTCTCGCTTCCCGCATCTTGTCATCAATAGGAGCCACATGCACCTTCTCCCGAATATCATCATTCCTAATCTTATCTATCTTAGTGTGTCCGCACATTTACCGCAACATCCTCACTTCTGCTACTTTCATCTTCTGAATATGTGAGTTCTTAACGGGCCAACACTCAGCCCCATACATCATGGCCGGTCTAACCACCGCTTTGAAAATACCGTTGACGGAATTCTCGTTTTATGTCTATTTCATTCACTTTACCATAAAACAAATATCTCGCGTTTCTCAACAAGTTAAAAGAAAAAAATATAAAGATTTATTGCAAAGCAATTTAAAACACATGTTGAGTTCTTTCTTCTGGTAGACATTTCTACAAACAGTTGATGGGCATTATAGAGGCAGCAACCAAACAATAGGAGAATAAATTATGGCAGCTTGTGCCAGCAAAGGAGGGTGTCCAAGTGACTATGTAGCGCTTTCAATTGCCGTAGTGTCCATGATCTCGTAAGTTTTTAGCAAAATACATCAGCCTCTAAGTTTATGTGAGCACATATTATACTAAAAATATCTGCTTTTTTTTTTCATTAAATAGCTTAGTTAGTATATCGTAGTCCAGTTTATCTCTTTTTTTTGCTCATTTCAAATGGGTATTAGCTGGTTGTGGAAATTTTGAAGTTAAATACTTGTGGTTTGTTGTTTCCTTGCTGTATCTGACTCATAGGAATGCACGATTGGACAAATTGAAAGATACTAGTATTTTTTTTTCCTTTAATGTTATGAAGATTCTGCTGAATTCAAGGAAAAATTGGATTTTGTGGGGAACTTTTTTTTGGTTTACTCAATATGGGTTACAATGAGCCAGACAGAGGGATGAAAGAGATCAAACTCGGGAATAAGAAGCAAACTTGCTTTTTCTTTTTGATCATTTTGATAGAGCAGGATGAAGAAAGGAGAATATGAATCTTGTGTGTTTAGATCATCTATTGCTTCTGAATAGGTCGAAGAAGAAATGGAAATGAAAGATAAATACAGCTTGCTATGGTCTTATTCTGCTTGCTTTCACCTGTCCTCTTTCTGCTTTTAGTATGCCAATGGTGTGATGGACGAGAAGTCTTAGCAGGATGGGGATGGGGGAACTCTTACTAGTGGCGGGGCAAGACTGTGCTTAAAAAATATCAACTTTAAGGTTTTTGACTTTGGTTTTCCCAATTTGATTCCTTTTAACGTCCTCGATTCTTTTTGTTTATATATATTTGTGGATGTAATACTAGTATCTGTTAATAGATTGAGACTTTGCTCTTCCCCCTCAAATGGCAGTGAATGTGTAATGGAAATGATGGTATTATTTAATGGTCATATACCAAAAGATATTTAACATAGTAAAATATTAGTAATGATAAAAAAGTAAACAACAAAAGTAATGAAAGAAAGGTTATTATGGAAAAAAGTGGAATATAGCATAATGAGAAGGGGCGAGGTGAGCTGTGGCTTGTGAATTAATCCCCTGTACCTCCCCATCGACATCCTGAACATTTTCTTTTCTTAACTTTCTCCCCTTTATAAGGACGGTGCTGCTTAAACTTTTCTAGTCTTCTCCCCTTCTTTACTTCATTGTGGGGTGGTAGGTGTTCAAAGACTGTTTGCATATCCAGAGGCATGGTGACAATAGAGTGTAGGATGTAAGCTCAGGGGGTTGAGAAAAATAATAGGAATCCGCTCCATCTTTTTATACACTGTAAAGGGTGCGAGAAGAGGAGGCTTGGTAGATTTAGAGTGTCTATACCAGGCTTAAAGTTCATTCCTTCGATTATTTACCCGTATGTTTTAATGCTTTTTTGCATGTGAAGGTGTGTGATTGTGTTCTAGTATTAAGATTTAAGGTAACGTTTACTAGAAAACATGTGTGCCATCACCATATAAGATGCTCACTGAATGCTAGTCACCTTGTCGTATTTATTCTTGAAGTAAAGCCACTTCAGTTTTCCTTTTGCCGGAGCTTTTTATGATTAATGTTCTCAATTATTGTTTAAAGTTTCATTAGTATGTATATCCATCCAATGCTTTAGCTTTTATTTCCATTAGATTACTTAGGATGTTGGTATTAACCACTTGAGTTTCCTCTGCAGACTTCTCCTGAAAGTGACATTACCGTACCTGATTCACAAGATTCCGAGGCCCAAAGGCAGTAGCTTTTGGCTTGTGGCAATTCAAGTTATAGCAAGCTTCAATCTGTTGTTGTCGATTGTGGTATCCACTTTTCATTTCTTCTTATGTGGTGTTATGCTTCAGACTCTGATTTAATATTCCAAAACACTAATGGGACTATATTTTAATTACCGTGTATTATTCATATGGCTTCTGCAGATAGCTCTCAATTTTCTAAAGTTCAGAAAGAGACATTGGTGGAGGTCTTGCTATCTCTGGGCAGGTTATTTACTCTTCAAACGGTGTCCGAATATGATTTAGTCTTCAAATATCTTGCTTTTGCCTTAATCTGGTGCTTACTTGATTGATTATTCTGCAAGACATTTGATCCTCCTTTCTTTCAGTCTGGATTGAAGGTCCACTCGGATTTGGTTTGCTGTTGAGCTGCCGTATTACACAGATATTCCAACTATATTATATATTTGTGAAGTAAGTTTGACCTCTTTAAGAAATAACCGGCAACTGCTTTTCTTTGTGATTGATGTGATGATTATGTAACAAGTAGCCTCATCAATATCAATTGAAAAACTGTAAATTGGTGCAGCCTCCTCACTCCAAGTCTCCAACCCCACTTTACCTGAAAGAAAATTCAAATATTAGCCACCTGCAGCTCTCCAGAGGAAAACAGAATAATGGATTATCTTGAACGTAATTCCTGCTCTATAGAAATGAAAAGATGTAGAAACGAATTGTTGCTCTAAAATAGTATAACAACTCTCTCTCTCTCTCTCTCTCTCTCTCTATTGTTAATGCATGCCATGTGGAAAAACTCTTTTTCAGTATTGTCTTAATTTTTTGTTTTATATGATCTTTCAGGAGACGTCTACCACCAATTAGATCCTATATTTTTCTTTCGCTGATTCTCTTGCCGTGGATAGCTAGTGCTGCCTGTAAGACTCGCCAAGTTGAACTTTATAAAGAAGTCTCCTTTAAAGTTTCTTTTCTTGAAATATTGATATATTTTGTTTTAGAGACTAGTTTTAAGGTATGCCCTTTGCGCGTGTACCCTATATCAATGGATAAACAATTATAAAAAATCACATAAATATTATTGAATAATATGTAGTTATACAACAAAAATTAAAGAAAAAAATGTAGATCCTGAAAATCATGTATGTTAATCTGTTTTAGCTAACTCAATAATGGAAGAAATCATGTCCACATAAGTCATCACGGTACCTTATTGTGATTGCTTGGGACTTCATTCGGAATATCTTAAGAAGGTTGTTGTATGTGTGACCTAATATTAGAAACAAATAAGTTTAACACAAACATACGTTTATCTCGATTCTTCAAAGATATAAACAATCAACTTATCTAAACTCGGATAATTTTATTTTTTGGCTCAGTTTAACATGTTTTACCAATCTAATTTTAAGGTTCTAAAGGTCAGTTTTATTTAATGATTCAGCTCTCATCTCGTAGTGAGTCTATTTGATTCCTATTAATATTCGTTCATATAAATTTTTTATCTCAAATTGAGTTCTTTTCCAAGTACAATCAGGGTTCATTAATGACCTCCCTCTCATTGTCGCTATCTCTATTTTCTTTCTAATTTCCTATTAATAATAATAATAATTTTATTGTATTGCAATTATTATTATTATTATTATTATTATTATTATTATTATTATTATTATTATTATTATTATTATTTAAATACATGTTTACAACAATAGTGTCCCATAAAAAGTTAGTAACTAACTAAACATTAACACTACTAAGATTGAAAGACAGGAAAAAGAAAAGGGCAAAGTAAATCATAAGGGTACCATTCACATGTTTAAGTTCTTGTATCATGTGATGACGTGCATATCCCATTCAATGAGAACAAAAACACAAGAAATATAAATCAGTAATTTGCTAACTATATACCAATATAAATTAAACACAAGAATCAAGATTCAATTTCTTGCCTCTTCATGGCAGCATAAGCTTGCTTTGACATACTTATATTAAATCTGCATGAGAAGCAAGGAAAGTGGCATCTATAATATCTTTGGCGCATGGAACATGTGCAATAATTGAAATTCTACTTATTCAAATATTTTGTAATTATGTTATTGTAATATAACATGCCGATCGCGCAAGAGAAGTTTTTGTCTTGCACATTACCAAACTCATACCTGAAAACCATACACATACAAAGCATGCAATAGATTTATAAAGTTAAATCAAAATCCATTCAATCATCAAGAGAAACAAACAACCAATTCGTGCAGCTCTTTCAATGAATTCAAACAAAAGACTTTATTTAGTCTGCTTCTAATAATGATACCCGCGATGGTCATAGCTCTCTTTGAATTTGAAAAGGATATAACATAGATTATGATATCACATGGGATGTATGCCTTGTCTTTTGCCTACACTTTTGCAGCTGTATTACTTTATGCATTTAATTTTGTGTTTTACTATTTGGTATCGATCTTACAATTGAGTCATGCCAAAACTTTGCGCAAGTGTATGAACAATTTTTTTTGACTTTTGTTACCAAGGGAGAACTTGCTGATTTTAACTCATTCAAACTGAATGTTGACAATCCGTTTAACATCCCTGCTATTGATATTATAAGCTTCATTTGCTACAGTTATTTATGTAAGAAAGCCTTTGAGAGATTAATACTGAGTTTCTTTAATGTAGTTATTCATATAAGAAAGCCTCTAAATTACCGATGCCACATGGGGACTGTGTGGATCATCCCTGTTATGGGCCTTCATGCGTTATATGTTGTATCTTTGATTGCTTTTACTGGGGCTGTGCGTCATGTGGAATTCAGATTTCATGAACTGAAAGACCTTTGGAGAGGAATTCTTGTATCTGCAGCTTCCATTGGTTTGTTTCTATCCATTTTCTTTTTTTGGCTTCTTCCTGGCATGCTTCCTTTGTCTTACTTCATGTGCTCAGGTAGGTGAAAGTTGAAACAACATATTGAGAAATGAAGTTAAATTGAGTTATGTAGTCTCGAATAACCACTTTCCCAATATGGTCCAAACATCTAAAGAGTAAAGATATTCTTACACCTATTGGAAGCACCAGCATAATGCTATGTGAAGTATTTGTAATATATGTCAGGGAAAAACCACAGGAGGAAAGTATCTAATTCTGGTGTACTGTTAGTTAAAGTGGCCGAGTTTCTGTCGTCTACATGAATTTGACCGTCTTGACTGAAACAACAATCTACATTACCTCTCATGCATTTCCCTCAAGTTGGTGATAATCCAAAACATGGATATCCAGTTGGTTACGGATAAAATCCTATCTAAAATCTCAGAAAAGATTTGTTAATAGGGCGCAAAGGTCCAAATATGCCCTTGTACTATACAAAATTGAGCACATTTGCCCTTCGTTAATACTTTAGCTCAAATATACCCTTATCGTCACATAGTTGGTCCATATATGCCCTTAGAGTTACACAGTTGGCCCATATATGCCCTTTTCGAAACGGAATTTACCCAAACTAATTAGCTCTTTCGTTAATTATATTAAAGTGTATTACAAACACTATTTCCTTTTTATTAGTACTTTTTCTTTACCTTTCTCTTTTCTTTCTTCTTTTTTCTTTTCTTCTCTTTTTTTTTCCTTTTTCTTTCTCCCTTATCCGTTTCCTCCATTACTGATGTCTTCTCCATTTTCCTCACCAATTTCACTTGACAAAACTCATGAATTCCAATTACTAAGAAAATTCTCGCATAAGGTAATCAAGTTCCAATTTCACTAGCCCTCTAAATAAACGAAATTAAATTGTTCCAAAAATTATGGTTTAAACTTTAAAATAATAAAAACATCTCAACCTTTAACAATACTCAAAAGACCAAAATATTTAAATTGTTTCCAGAAAGATAATTTAATGATTAAAAGCCTAGAGTTCAAGTTGTAGTGTTATAAATTTGAGTTGTTAGTCTTTTTTCATCTTTTTTCAGCTGGACATTTTCTATTTTTTTTTATTAACTATGTAAATTTGGGGTGTACATGAAACGGGTTGGTTCGGTTTTTATCAAAACCAAACCAAACCAATTATATCGGTTTGGATTGTTAGGTTTTGTTGGATTTTTCGGGTTTTTTGTTACATAAATATTATTTCAATCTTACTTTGTTAAATATTTTAGAACTAAATATATGTTCAGTAAAAATTAAAAAATTGACAAACATATGATCTATTAAAATATTCTTATGCGAGAATTTTCTTAGTAATTGGAATTCATGAGTTTTGTCAAGTGAAATTTGCGACGAAAATGGAGAAGACATCAGTAATGGAGGAAATCGGATAAGGGAGAAAGAAAAAGGAAAAAAAAAGAGAAGAAAAGAAAAAAGAAGAAAGAAAAGAGATAGGTAAAGAAAAAAAGTACTAATAAAAAGGAAATAGTGTTTGTAATACACTTTAATACAATTAACGAAAGAGCTAATTAGTTTGGGTGGATTTCGTTTCGAAAATGGCATATATGGGCCAACTGTATAACTCTAAGGGCATATATGGACCAACTATGTGACGGTAAGGGCATATTTGAGCTAAAGTATTAACGAAGGGCAAATGTGCTCAATTTCGTATAGTACAAGGGCATATTTTGACCTTTTTCGTTAATAATTGTAGCTTGATATACAAAGTTCATATAAGAGGTAGGAATCAACAACAACAACCCAGTATAATCCCACTAGTGGGGTCTGAGGAGGGTAGTGCGTACACAGACCTTACCCCTACCCTGGGGTAGAGAGGTTGTTTCCGATAGACCCTCGGCTCCCCCCAAGAACTCCCCACCTTGCTCTTGGGGTGACTCGAACGCACAACCTCTTGGTTGGAAGTGGAAGGTGCTCACCACTAGAGCAACCCTTAGGATCTGTCTGTTAACTGTTAGCCGCTTTATACCTCTTTTAATACAAAGGCGAGGTTAGAAACCACTTGGTTAAAACCCACTTTACAGCTAGTATTATCTAAATAGAGAAATGATTTTAAATATTTTTTATGAAAAGACTTTTTTTTAAGTTTTTTATTTTGTCAAATTTTAAAACATAACATAAGAATATATATTAAACTTTTTGTTCAATATAAATAGAGTTAAACCAAAAAAAGGGAAGAGGAAAAGAGAGTTCTGGTTATATTTGAGAGCTATATGGGTTATATGAGAGATAGTTTGATAGAATATAAATTTTTGGTAAGGATATTTTGTCTTGTAAAAAATAATTTTTATCAGAAAAACTACTTCTGTTGCTGCTCACATGCACTTTTAATTTTTGGCCAAACACGTCAAGTTTTAAAAAAAAGTGCTTTTTTGAAAAAAAGTTCTTTTGGCTTCCCAGAAGCTTGCCTTGCCTAAACAGGCTATAAGTAGATATGAACTCAAACCAAAGTTCTGGATGCAAATGTCTCGGTCATGTAAATTCACATGAAGTATGTGTTATAGCTTTGAATACAAGACTTTGGGGCTTGGGCTTGGTTCTAAGGAAGCAGGTTATCTGTTGCTTATAGGCAAGACTTTGTTTACTCCAAGAGAAAACAATGCCCCCAACACTGTTCTTTTAATATATTTTCTTCATTATGATGAAAATTGCAACTTATACGTTTATTGTAATTTTGGAATATCTAAATTTTAGTTTCAAAAAATTAGAGCACCGAAAGTTGGTTAAATTGACCCTCATTAGGCAAAAATTGCGACCAAACTGGGACAGGGAACAGGGGCGTATAAAGAGATATTTTTTTGTTGGACTTGGAGATCTTGCTCACAAACATGTATGTACTGTCCGTTCTATGTGACCAGATGCACACCTACAATTCCTCAATATTTTCAATCACTGCATCTCTGACATTTATGACAGTCATCCAGTAACAATATATTATGGCAATGTTTTACTTGCTTTTTCAAACTACAGATTAGAATAGCGCATTGCATCCGTCGCAAGGATGCTTAGATACTGCTTTCAACATTCAGCGAATGTTCAACTTCCTGGATTTGCTTTTAGGTAGTTGAAATGCAATCATAAGAAACCCTCAAAGCAGTTGCTTCATAGTTTCCTCTTTGTTAATAGTACCACGCAAAATGTATTTTCCATACTTGAAAGAAGATGCAAAGAAAGACAATGATGCTACAGATGATGTCAACTTGGCTGCAAAGAATTACTCACTTTTCTAGCCTTATGCACGCCTGATCCTGACTATTCGCCTTCGAACTAAACACCCAACAAGTGCCAAGATAGCACTACTAGAGTATGGAACTTCTGAAGCATTTGTATAAAGGTTGGAGATAATTTTTCGCAATATTTCAACGTCGTGAAGCATGGTATTGTCTGTAGCTACATATATCCCAGTAGATGTCCAGAGGTGCTTGCCCTCTCTGCCATTCTGTCATGTGATGGTGCTCAGTTACTAAATCTTATGGGGTGAAAGGAATCTGATTGGCCTCAAGTTCGTGATTATCGTTAAATAGTTCAGAGATTATTGCTATAAGGTTCTGTGGTTCTTTCTTTTTAAGTAATATATGAAGCCATAAAAAGTAAGCTCTGTAATATCATAACTTGTTTTTTAGTTTAAATATTCATGTGTTTGTTACATCATGCTTTATTCAAATACATGTTTTATGGCTTTCATCTATGTCTGCTTCCACATTCACTTGTAGTTCAAAGCATAATAGATCAAAAATGATTTTTCGTCTTAGACATCCCAAGATTTTTTTTTTTTTTTTTTTTTTTTTTTTTTTTGCTGATATCACTGTCTGTTTTCTGTCTCAAGGAATTTGGGTGGCTGCTTATGTTATGAATGAAGTTCGCGAGGACATATCATGGCTAGAAATTGCCTCTAGATTTTTGTTATTGGTTATGGTACAATTTCCTGATCTTGTGCTACTTTATTAATATGTGGGTGCCAGAAATATTTGTGGATTGCCCACAGCTTTCTCTTGTTATTTCAACAGACAAGTGTCCTTGTGCTAGCATTCTTCTCTTTCTCAATTTCTCAACCTCTTATCTCACTTATGAGCTTGAGGAAGAAGGATCATAAGGAGTACAAGACAATGAGTCAGGCATTAGGCATACATGATAGTGGGATTCTTCTACAGAGGGAACCGATAAGCATTATAGATCCAAATGAACCTTTGGATAAGCTCCTGCTGAACCGAAGGTTCCGGCAGTCCTTCATGGAATTTGCAGACAGGTTTTATTCTTTCTCCTTTTGCGAAAATAGCATCATATCTTTGTGCTGTGTACATGGATCAGCTTATCATATTAAAGAGAGAAGATGCATGGTCCTGTCTTTTGTCCTTGATTTAACATAATTGAATATTAAAAAAAAAGTAAAATGTTTGTGATATTCTTGGAAACAAGTAAAAAAAAATCACAGACGAAATCAGACCATCTTTTCTAATGATAAGCTCTGTCAGACAGGTAATCAACCCTGTGAACGCTGAAATTTACTTCTCCTCCACACAGTAATGGACCCATTTTTTAAACTTTGTTCACATTGTAGTTGTTTGGCTGGGGAGAGTGTCCATTTCTATGATGAAGTGCAACAGTTTGATAAAATTCCTATTCAAGATCCAGTTAGGAGAATTTACATGGCGCGCCACATAATAGAGAAGTATATAGCTGCAGGTATGGTCAATTCTTGTATGATTCAACTTTGATGGTCATTTCATCTTCTCTTCAGGGATTTCTTGGTAAACTATACACTTTGATTCTTCGACTTAGTCCTGTTTCTGGAAATTATGCTCGTGCTTAAATTTGATGCTCTTTTGACTTGCATTTACTCATTAAACACCTATAGGAGCACCAATGGAGGTGAACATTTCTCACAGAATTCGGCAGGAAATTTTGAGTACTAATGATCTCTCCCATACTAATCTCTTCAAAAATACTCTAGGTGAACTGATGCAGCTGATGAAACTGGTTGGTCTTTTACCTTCTAAATAATTACTTGCTTGATTGCTATGGTACTTTGCATTACGTTAATTCTGCTCCTTCTATCCCTCCTTCCCTGTCTTACGCTTTTATTTCATCTACTCTTATTCAATCGCCTTTCTTGCGGACATAGAATTTAGCAAAGGATTACTGGTCATCGATATATTTCATGAAGCTGAAAGACGAGGTCAGTATGAGAACAGTTGATCATGAGCTGGAACATGCTAGCGGTTGGAACTTTTCTCCAAGATTGAGTTCTGTCCATTGTAGTGATGACCCTTTTCAGCATGAACATAGCCCCAGGTATTCTGCTTGCCATAGTCATGATTCAAAACTGCAATGACAAAACATGTGAGGGGGTCATAGTGTTCCAACTTGATGGAGTCGTATATATTAGGCACTGAACAGGAAGAGGAGCAAGCCCAAGAATCCTGCATATCCCGATCGATTGAGCAAAAGATGCATGATATTCATACTCACATGATGTGCCCCAGCAGCCTGATTCTCCTGTTCTTAGATAGCACGAGCCTTCAAAACCAAATTTTTCTCTGCACTGTGCAGTGGTGTGGCCCAGTCGTGCTATTTGGACCTTAAAGAGTACTGGCAAGTTCCTTGCATGTGAAAACACAGGGCGGCTGTTGGAAGACTGATGGTGACTTCTTGTATCAAATAGCTGGTGGGTGGCAATTTATGTTGGCTGGTAGATTCAACAATGAATAGGACATATAGTTGTGGTTATGTAGCATATTTTTGTATCCGTTAAGAACTTGCAAGGTGTATCTTACCCAGACTTGTTATATAAATCAACGAGTGAAATACCTTTGATATCCATTGCTGTCTTAAATGTGAAAACTACTGTGGCGTCCCTGAAGACAGCCGTAACAGGAAAATGTAACTTACCGAAATGAACCAAGTAAATTGCAGATCAATCATGCTACTTGGATGAAATAGTGTTATGTGCTAGAAACAAAAACATTACTTAGGTGATTTTTTCCTGTCTGTTTAAGATTTTGTGGAAAGAGTTCTACGGTACTTATACTAGTGGGAAGAAGTAGCTACGCAATACAATAATCAAATTGAGCAAGAATTTCTCCGATATGCTATAAAATTGGTAGGACACCACCATTAGAGCATCGATTTTAAGCATTAGTGTGCACTGTACACGGACCTGATGAAATCCATATGTTGCAAATTCTTATTGACACGTTTGCCACTCTCACAACAGTTTTACTTGGAGAAATTTTAATGTTTACTCAAACCAACAAATCCTAATGTTACGAATTGATTTCATAACCTTTTGGGCCGGAGTGGTTAATATCTTATTGGGCCAGTCATTAGCTGATGTATTTTAGTCCTAGTCTCATTTTCATATATAGCATATTATGTTAGTCTAGTAAGTCTGGGGGGCTGTGTAGTCAATAGGACACATGTAGTTCCCTATATAGAGTTGTTAGGCATTATTCTGAGATGACAATTGTCCAACGTAGTATAAATAGTAGGCTCAGTGTACTAGAGAATCTATCTGAAATGAAATTCATCTCTTTTTCCGTTTAATTTTGTCTTTTCCTTTCTTTACGTTTTTGGCACCGTAGCAGCCGCACAATCTGGTATCAAAGCATTTCTCTGGGCATCAATGGTGGATCCCCGCGTATCACCGACGGAGGTGACCAAGGAGACCACTCCTCCAACCTCGAGCTCCAAATACAGACGTTCATGGAAACCTCGGTTAAACGCATGGAACAGATGGAAGAACTACAGAGGCGCCATTTGGAAGCAAATCAGCGCATGAAAGGTTGGATGTTGGATTTGCAACGAAAAGAAGATACTCGCCTAGCCATGGCTCAAGGGATCGCCTATTATGAAACTGGTCAATCATCAGTGCGTGGTGGATACCAACCGACGTCCTCACCCACGACCCCAGTTTAGTCCTCGTCGTCAGCGGTAACTCCTAAATAGAGGTGTTAACCGGACGGGCTGGTCCGGACTCGACACGAAAAAAAATAACCGTCCGGTTATTGTTCCGGGCCTGTAGCGGGCTGGATAAACGGGCTGGTACCGGGCTGGAAAATTTCGGTCTAATTAGGGGCCGTCCGGGTTCGGGCTTAACGGGTCCGGATAGGGCCAGGATTACTTATTTTTTTTTTAGTATATTTTATTTTCTTATTCAATGTTATTGATACTTAAGTGTTTGCAAACTTTTAAGGCTTAAAATTAAATTTTAAACTTTAAACTTTAAAGTTTTAAATTTGAAATTTGAATTTTAAAATTGAAATTTGAAAGTAAGTGGCTACAAAAAATTATTTAATAAAACCAATAGGCAATATGTAAAGATCAAACTCCGAAGCCTTTCGTTTTATATTTTTATTGAATAATAAATAATACTTCAAATTAATTTGCAAGTTCTATTTTGATTTTTTTTATTTTTGAACTTGCAAATTAAAAGTTTACAACAATTATAAAAAAATAAGAAAGAGTATGTCACATGCTTTGCATCATTTTTTTAAATTCATCCATGTCAACATGAGGTTCTTGATTTCCGGCATTGCTTGAATCGGAACCATAAACTATTATATCTCCAATTTTATGGTCCTCCGCTTCATCTACCTCTTCACGCCCTTGATTTCATCGTTCTGATCTTATCCAATCTCTGAAGCACACTAGAATTTCCAAAGCGTTGCTGCCCAATAAATGACGAGTATCTCCTAGTTGCTTCCTTGCTTGGCTAAATGCACTCTTTGATGCGACTGTTGAAATCAGCACATTTAGCACGTCTCGAGCTATGGCCGAAAGAACAGGAAATTGATTTGAGTTGCTCCTCCACCAACCCAGCAGTAGAAATTTCTTTGTGCGGGGCTCTGGTGACTTTTGCAAGTGGAATTGGAGTTCATCAATGTTACTGGTTTGTTGATGCTCTCCTAGTGTAGACCAAATCAAATAATTTTTAACACCATCATTATCCTCCAAAGCACCGGATGCAGATGTTGAAACTAAACTTGAAGAAATATTTGCATCTACAACAGCAGAAGCATCAAGAATGTTAGCATAATAATTATATAAAGTTTGTAAATGTTTGTGTAGATCAGAAATACAAGTTTCAACATCAGGGGTTTCAGTTGGTCCAATATTCATATAAACATATAAAGCAGTGATTAATTGGCGACAAGTGGCCATTTTGATATAAGGGTTTAAAATAGCACCAATTAGGTAAATAGGGGGAATTGGGTAGAAATATTTCTTAAATGTATCTAGCATAGATTCAACAACAGAAGAATATCCTTCTTTCTTCTTTAAATTATGGAGTAAAAGAGAAATTTCAGCAATATAAACTAAACCATTTGCAATAGTAGTATAATATGTTCCAGAAAACTCAAGTGTATCCACATAAAATTTTTATAAATATTTTACAATATCTTCAATGACATCCCAAGCTCTAGACGTTAACAAACAGTTATGATCGGTACAATGAGAATTAACAACTTCAGTTATAGAAATTTTATATTTATGACAACATCTTAAGAATAAATAAATATAATTCCACCTAGTAACTATTTCTTCAGGCATGAGTCTTGGCTTTAGTCCATACTGTATACATTTTTCCTTAAATGCATTTAATCTAGCACTTCTTTTATTTTCTTGAATTACACCAACAACTCTTCTAACTAAAGTGATCTCATCTCTAAATAATTCAACGCCACTCTTCACAATTAAACTATAAATATGACATGCATACCTAATATGAAATATTTCAGGAAGTGGCGGGTGTAGATGCAATTTTAATATTGTAATAGCAGAATTGTTGTTAGAAGCATTATCAAATGACATACACAAAACTTTTTCTGAACGATTGTAAAATATAGCAACTTCATGGATAGTATTACTTATAAATGCACCAGTATGACTTTGATCTTCATCATATTTAAAAGCAATAATACATTTTTGCATACAAAAATTATCATCTATACAGTGGAATGTAACAGTCAAATAATTATTTTCATTAACAGCATGACTAATATCAGAAGTAAGAGAAACTCTACAAGAAAGACTAGCGAACAAATAACGGATATGTGTCTGATATTGTCCAAAACGTCGAAAGATATCAGCTCTACAAGTACTTCTAGGAATACCTTTAAACAAAGGGTTATAAATTCTTTGAATATAAGTAACAAGATATGGTGAAGCAGCAAAACTAAAAGGTAAACAACCTAAAACAATCATTTTAGCTAATTCTTCCCGATCTTTCGCTATATCATATTTACCCATTAAACTGCCAGTACCCGGGTTAAGTATTTATTGCCCACCTTCCTCATTAGTACCCCATGCAATAGGGTGGTTATCTACCATGTGCCTACGAAGTTGACCCGTTCCCCCTGCCTTATCTCCGGTCTCATGTTTATAAACTTCCTTACAAATTTGACATATTACACAATTTTTATCTTCTTCTAGTCTTTCAAATAAATTTCAACACTTACTTTTTAATCTTCGATTCCTCTTAATAGGGAGGGGAGGCCTACCTGTATTACCACGACCTCCACCCCTAGTATTTTGAGTTTGACTAGCATTACTAGGTATAGCTGGTGGTATTTCAAGATTATCAGATGATTGAATATCATCTAAATTATCATTTATACCATAATTTTCTTGAAATTGCTCATAATCTACATTTAAATTTTCAGGTGAACTTTCAGAAATATGTGTAAAGCTACTAGAAGAACCAACACCACCTCTTCATTTTTTAGAAGTTTTACTCTTATTACTACCGCCCATACTAGCACACGCTTTTTTTGGATGCTCTAAATATATCTATTATGTAAATTAAATTAATAATTCAAAATAATAAAATAAAAATATACACCAAAGAAGATAAAGAGATGGAACGAGTGTACCGGGATTTCGGATGCCGCACTAAATTTGATATCAAACTTCAGTTGATAGACTGATACTTGATATTTGATGATATTGAATATTGATATCACACTTCACTTGAATACTTGATATTTGATAATTATAATTTTATAGTGACTAAAGTAAATATTTGATGAAACTTGAAATAATAAGTAATTGAGAATTTAAGAGCAATAAGCAATATTATTAAGAGAGAATTGAGAGTGAATTAGAGTAGTAAGAGAGCAAATTGTGAGAAAAAAATGAAGAAGGAAGGCTATTTATAGTTTTTAAAAGGTTAAAATTACAAATTATCAATTATTAGGGGGTGGGGAAGGGGGGGAGGCTATTTTCTTAAGGGGTAGGCCGAAATGGCCATTTTTGCAAAATATGGCCGTTGCCCAACTGTTATTTTGAATTTGACCTTTGGCAATGGTCAAAACATTAAAAAACAAAATTGACAACGGTAACCGGGCTGGACCGGGTTGTAGCCCGGTAAAAATCCGGCAAAGGATAACCGGGCTAACCGGGTTCCCGGGCACCGGTTACCAAAAAATATTCGTTCAAGCCTGGCTCTCCCCCCAACCCTCACCCAACCCGTCCCACCCCTAGCGTACCGGGCAGACCCGGGCTGAACCAGGTTGAATTGGGCTGTTATTAGGCTGGCCCGGCCCGGCCCGATTAACAGGTATACTCCTAAACTTTTCAATACTAGTCAAGGAGGACCCTTAGCTCCCTCTAACCTCAATGCACCTCGTTATGGATCTGGACCTTCGCTGAGCGAAACCCTAGCCTTACCCCCTATGAACCCCCATTTTTCCCACACTTATATCTCTATTTTGAGCTCCACCATACCAACCTCCATCAGCTCGACCAAACCTTTTTCTTCACTATCAGCTTACAGTAGACCCTTCACACCTTCACATACCTCATCAACTATGAACCCTTTA